AAGGTTTTAATATACATTCAGAACTGAGAAGCGGACTTTTGTTGTTTATGGACTGTAGCTATTAACTAATTAACCTTACCCAGCACTCCTCCCCTTTATCCTCTGGTCCTTGTAATTAAATTGAGGACAACTTAGAACATTTTTTTTTTTTCTCATCTTGGATGGTCTAGGTAGGCCCTAAATGTAATCACAAGTGTCATCATAAGAAAAGTCAGAGAGAGAGATTTGTCACAGACAGACAAGAAGAAAGGGTCTTGCCTAGGGCTACATTCAATCGATCCTCCTGTCTCGGCTTCCCAGGTAGCTGGGAAGCATGAGCCACCAGGGCAAGTTAAAGCTACTAAGTTCTGAGGTAATTCATTATGCAGCAATAGATGACTAATATAGTCACAAATTACCAAAGCTCACTCAAGAGATATAACTTGAATAGTCCTTCATTTAATAAAAAAATTCAAATATGGTTAAAAACCTTCCAACAAAGAAAACTCCAAGCCTAGATGAAGTTGAAATTGGTCACTGTTGAAGTCAATGAAGCATTTTAAAAAATAATGACCAGCTATTATTTTCATTGTTGCTTCTTTTAATGTAATATTTATTTTTGGCTGCTTTATACTCTTTCCATTTTTATTAATCAGCAGGTTTTTAAAAACATTTATTTATTTTTAGTTGTAGTTGGACACAATACCTTCATTTTGTTTATTTATTTTTATGTGGTGCTGAGGATCAAACCCAAAGCCTTGCACATGCTAGGCGAGCACTCTACCCCTGAGCTACAACAGCAGTTTTATAATGTGATTTCTCTTTTTTTTTTTTCTTTTTTTGGTGCTGGGGACTAAATCCTGGGCCTTGTGCACATTAAGCATGCATTCTACCACTGAGCTATACATACCCATATTTGGTTTTCATTTTATTTATCCTTTTTAGGGGTTCATAGGTTCTTTCTTTTTTCCAGCTATGTTGCTCAGGGTGGCCTTGAACTTCTGGGCTCCAGAGATCCTCTTGCCTCAGTCTCACCTAATAGCTGGGAATACAGGTGTCTACCACTATTATGTCCAGTTGATATTAGTTCTTAAAACTAGTTTGATGTCTTTCATCAATTTTGTGAAGTTTTGTCATTATCTTACAAACTATATTCTTCTCCCCTGGGATACTTCTTTCCTATATTAGATCTTTTTACAACATTTTTCTTCTGTATTTTCATTGTTTTGTCCCTCTTTGCACCATTCTATTTTCTTCTAACTTGTGTTTATTCACCAATTCTTTTTCACTATTGCCTGCTCTGCTGTCAGATCTATTAATTAAAATTCTGATTTTCATTTCTAGTATTTCCATTTTGTTTTTAATATAATTTTCAATTCTTTGCCAAAATTCTCAGAAGTTTGTCTCTGAGGACTCCAATATCTGGAGGTCCTGCAGATGTGTTTAAAAAACAATTTCTGCTGGTTTTCACTCATGTCTCTTTGTGTGGCTACTTTTATTGTGTACCCTATAATGTGCTTGCAAAACTTCACATCTATTTGTTTTTGGAGTACTGAGAATTGAACCCAGAGGAACTTTACCACTGAGTTACATTTCAAGCCCTTTTTATTTTATTTATTTAAAGTATTTCTTTTTTAGTTCTTTTTAGGTGGACACAATATCTTTATTTTACATTTATGTGGCACTGAGGATCGAACCCAGTGCCTTGTGCATGCTGAGTGAGCACTCTACCACTGAGCCACGACCTCAGTCCCCTTTTTATTTTTGAGAAGGGTCTCACTAAGTTTCTTAGTGAGTTGTTAAGTTAGCAAGGCTGTACTTGAACTTGGGATCTTCCTGCCTTGGCCTCCCAAGGTTCTGGGATTACAGGTGTGTGCCATGTGCCTGGTCACATTTATTTTGAGGACTAGTATGTTAGTTTCTTTCTGCTGCATAACAATATTTCTATAAATTTAATGTCTTAATTGCAAGATCCTCTGCTTCATGGTCTAAGGTTACAGTCATAATGTTAGCTGGTCTCAGTTGAATCTCCATTGGAGCAGGTTCACTTCGAAAATCACAGGTTGCTGGCAGCATTTGGTTCCTTGCAGAATACTGGAATCAGGGCTAGAGACCACCCTCACTTGCTGGCCATGTGGCTTCTTCCAGCAGCCAGCTCCAACATGCCAGTTTGCTCTTAAGATGGGCATGAGCATTTGATGTAATCATTTATACACAATCATGTATACACCATCATCTTCATGTTATTTTATTGAGTTGAAACAAGCCATAGATCATACACACACACGGAATACCAAATGACAGGGATTAGCTTAAGAGTCTTCTATACCTAGTCCTCGTAAGAAGTAAATTTAGATTTGCTTTTGCCAGGCACCTGGGAACTCTAAAAATCTTAGATTCAATCCAATTTCAGAGACAGAGTATTTAAAGCCATCCTTTTAAAGGTATATTTACTTCTGGATCATTCTTATTCCTAATGAGCACTACTTAGGATCCTTTTCCCCTGACTCAAAGTGAGGGAAAAGCTTTACCAATGCAGACATACTTCAGTGTCTCTTCCTCTGGTCTCATGAAGTTATCAACATAACCCCTTAATGCCTCAGCTACCACTTACAGATAGGGCAATTTACAGGGAAAACAGTCTACTTACCGAAGTTTCTTAGAAATTCTTCATTGTCAGCTCTCTGTAGTCTTTAATCAGATGTTTTTGACATTTGTTCAAGTGTCAGCTTTTATGCTCAGCAGAAAATCACTTGGCCAACCATTACTGTAAATGAAACTTATTTTATGTATTTTTGTGGTACAGGGAGGGATTTAACTCAGGACCTTTCACATACTAGGCAAGCATTATTGAGCTACAGTCCTAGTCCAAAAATCTAATTTTTTTTAGTTCTATAATTTTTAATGTTAGTGGTCTGAGCATACACAAATGTAATTTATAAGAATAGATGTGTTTCAATATAATCTAACCTATTAAAGCAAAACAAAAATCTACCTTTTAACTTAAAAAAGATTGCAGAGTATCAATTTTTCCTCACTAAATTATACTGAATATTTATATTTCTGGAGCTTCACATAATTTGGAAAAGAAAATCCTAATATTATTACATACTGAGTATTTATGGCTAAAACATGAGTTTAGAAATTAGAATAGATTTGTAAAAATTTCTATATTAGTTGATGTTTTGCTAATATCCCTATATGAAAGTCTCTTAAATGTTGAATAGTCCTACAAATTACTTATTTTCTTGATCAAAACTTCATTGCCACCAGGCGCAGTGGTGCACACCTGTAATCCCAGCAGCTTGGGAGGATGAGACAGGAGAATTGTGAGTTCAAAGCCAGCCTCAGCAAAAGCAAGGCACTCAGCAACTCAGTAAGAGCCTGTCTCTAAATAAAATACAAAATAGGGCTGGGGACGTGGCTTAGTGGTCAAGTGCCCCTAAATTCAATTCCTGGTACTCCCCCTATTAAAAAAAAAAACAAAAAACAAAAAACTACATTGCCAAATAGAAATAACACACTGATTAAACCCAACATACTAGTTATTGTCTATGATGCTAAGACATAAACTTAAGATAATTAAAGGACGGACATTAATATGTATTTTATTTCAAAAAGAAATAAAGTTGATGAGAACTTGGACAATAAATACTGCATCCATTTTTTAATATTTACTTTTTAGTTTTTGGTGGACACAACATCTTTTATTTTTATGTGGTGTTGAGGCTCGAACCCAATACCCCGGGCGCATGCCAGGCGAGTGCGCTACCGCTTGAGCCACATCCCCAGCCCAGCATCTATTTTTTAAAAAATATATCTTTTAAGTTGTAAATGGACACAATACCTTTGTTTATTTATTTTTATGTGGTGCTGAGGATCAAACCCAGTGCCTCACATATGTGAGGCAAGCGCTCTACTGCTGAGCCACAACCCCAGTCTCCCCACTTTTTTTTTTTTAATGGTGCTGGGAATTGAACCCATGGCCTTCTGTGTTAGGTAAGTGTCTACCACTAAGCCACATCCCCAGACCCAGCATCTCTATCTTTAAAATACACTGATTTGAGAGCCTCTTATTATTATTGTTTTTGGTACCAGAGATTGAACCAGGGGTGCTTAACCACTGAGCCACATCCCCAGCGGGGGTGTGGGGCACCTTTTTTTTTTTTTTTTTTTTTAGTTGTAGATGGACACGATACCTTTATTTTATTTATTTTGATGTGGTGCTAAGTTTCAAACCCAGTGCCTCATATGTGTGAGGCAAGCACTCTGCCACTGAGTCTCAATCTCAGCCCTGATACAGGGTCTTGGCAAATTGCTTAGGTCCTAAACTGTTGAAGCTGGCTTTTTGAATTTGCAATCCTCCTGCTTCAGCCTCTTGAGCTGCTGGGATTACAGGCAATGTGCCACTGTGCCCAGCTGAAAGCCTCTTTTTCTTATATGAATAAATAACCGGGGGTGGTGGGGGAAGGCATCAGGCTTACTTTTAAGATCTGAAACTACTGGATATACTTTTGAAAATAATTATCTTAAGAAAATTTGGCCACTCTCTCTAGGAATAAATTAAAAAACACAATCCAACTATACTTTTGGCATAGACCACTGGTTTTACCTACCTCAATTCTGTACTTTTCTTTTTTCCAATTTTTCCTATACACATGACCACCTGAAAAGCTGTATTTGCCATTTCCTTGCAGTTAGGTGGGGTATTATGACTAAGTTTTCATCAATGGTATTTAAAAGACATCTTGGGTACAATTCTGGGAAATTCCCTTAAACCAGGAGCTGTAACCTTCTCTCTGCCCTCTTTCTTGCTAGCCAGAATGTTGCTGTGAGTGTTGGAGCTTACACAACCTAATGAGTTGAAAGCCAAGTGCTTGGTAGAGCAACACTGCAGCCTTGAAATACTCCTGGACTTCTTTGAAGAGAGGGGAATTTTTTTCTTTTTTCTTTTAAGCCACTAGTGTTAAGGGTCTTAGTTTTATGCTGATGAACCTAATCTTAACTAATACACATTTCAATTGTTGGTATATTACTCCTTTATTAGAAATTGTAAATGAGAAATTATTTCAACACCTGAAGACCAAACCACAATAGAAGATTCCATAGATTCAAGATTTTGAGACATTCTGGAAAGAGTTTTCTGTAAAGTATATCCTTTCCGTGGCATGGCAACATCATTCTTCTTTAAAAAGGTTACTGGACAGACATCATTCCCACCATCACCTATATACACAATTTGTGTATAATTCACTCCCTGTTGTAACTGTTTTTCTACAAATTCTACCAAAACTACATTTTTGCAAAGATTCTTTGGGCACCTATTACAAGAATGAGCATGATAATTTTCCACAGTGAGATGACCATTGCTATCAAAAGCTGCTGGATTTGTAAACACTTTAGCAAATATATCATGAAAATTGGCAGCTTCTAAAACCCAGTCTATGAAGACTGAATTTGAATCTGAAATAATGATGCAGTCAAATTTATCCTTATTCTTTCTTATAAAGTTGAAAAGTTCCACCATCCCTGGAGTGAAAGGTATTGATGTCATTGTTGTTTTCATTTCATTTTCTCTTACACCTTCATCTCCCAAGTATTTAAAGACTCTGCCCATAAATTCTGTCCAAAATCCTTTTTGATAAGAATCTTGTAGTTCAATAGGAAGTTTTTTGTCTGGAGCACACTGCACAATCCAGGTGTCACTATTGTCATCTATGATTGTATTGTCAAAGTCAAACACCAACAAAATTTTCATGGTTCCAGAAATAGATTTGGGTTACCCTGAAAAAGAAGAAATATGATTCCCTAAACATACTGTGTTTGCATACTGGCTATTAAACTAACTTTAAAGCCTAAGTAACTATTAATCTGCTAAACAAGGAATATGAACAAGTGATTAAGCATATTAAGATCACCACTTAATCACTTTTTCCTAAGAGGCACAGGCCATATTTGAGTATTTTAAGTGAATCGAAAACAAAATATTTAGAAATGATACTCAGTATTATTGTGTTTCTGTGGGGATGATTCTTTGAGCACTCAGAATGAAACTACAGAGCTATCCAGAAAGGAAATTTATGAAGTAATCTCTTATAGTCAAATTTATAAAAGTTATAAGAAGAAAAATCAAGTAAATCATCCTTACTATCTTTAAATTATCAATCAGTCATACTTATTTGATTACCTTATTATATTTTCAGTAATCCTCACATTAAATAACAGGTCATAAATAATATGGATTCTCCATATAATTTTAGTAACTAAAATTCTGAACAAATTTAATATAGCATGTAATCCTGTAAAATGTAAAATAATTTTTTAAAAAGGTATTTAGCTGAAATTAATTTCTAAATGCCAATGTTATAACTAGGTGACTGCTTAATGTTATCATGAAAATTCTAAAAGAATTACTTGAGAAATGGAGGTCAATTCAATTCTTCCAAACCAGAATAATTCTCGTTAATAGTTTTCACATTAATTTACATCTTCTTTAGATAGTTCAGCTTTGAGGGCCAAATATTCTGAATGTACTTGAGTAATAACACTACTTGTGATGGAACAAATTAGTCTCTATTTTCATTGTTTCTAATTAGAAAACAACAAAAACATCTGGGCGAGATGGTGCATGCCTGTAATTCCAGTGGCTGAGGAGGCTGACACAGGAGGAGCAACTTAGTGAGGCCCTAAGCAACTCAGTGAGACCTCTGTCTCTAAATAAAATACAAAAAAAAAAAAAAACTGGGGATGTAGCTCAGTGATTGAGTGCTTCTGAGTTTAATCCCCAATACAAAAACAAAAAAAAAAAGAAGAAAGAAAGAAAAAAAAAATAATGAAAACCATTAATTATAAATCACAAGAGAAAAGGGAAAATTAAGCAAGTCAACAGACAGTATAAATGAATGTTATCATGTGAAAAAAGTTAGCAATTATAGAGAATACCCAGGAAAGGCTAGAACTTGTGTGTGCAAACAAAAAGAAAAAAAGATTGGCAAATATTTTTGAGTAACCATTATATGCAAAGCATGGGACTGGGGACTTACAATCATCAATCATCACATTTAATTTTTACATATTATTAAGTAAAAATTATTATTATCCTCATTCTAAAAATATAAACTGAAACTTAAAAGTAGCTGAGTATTAGAACTGAAATTTTGGACTCAGCTTAATTCCAAGGTTTTTGCTTTTAAGTACAACACTCCAGTGTCAAAGAAACAGAATATTAAAAAGTATACATTACTTTAAAAATAAAATACAGGGGCTAGGGTTGTAGCTCAGTGGCAGAGTGCTTGCCTAGCATGTGTGAGGCCTTGGGTTGAATCCCCAGTATTACATAAAAACTAAATAAAAAAAGATATTGCATCCATTTACAACTTTAAAAAAATGACAAAGTAGGTTATCTTGATTAAAAACATATTTAATTATAGAAAAATATTCATTAGTCTCAAAATACACACTAATTACAATACCACATTTGTGATCCAATTTATAATCATCCTGAGATTTTAGCAAGAAATCCTAAAAAAAAAAAAAAAAAAGTGTAGAACTCCATCAATAAGAAAAAGAAGAAATCAATTAAAAATGGGAAACATACCATTTAACCACGTGCATTTTCTGGTTTATTACAAAAGATATGTAGCAAAGACAGAACAGAGCTCTTGAAGCACACGTGAGAAAGTATTCTTTCTCTCAAAGTTAGAAAATCCTATTGTATGAATTTAGATGGTACACAATATGCTAACACTCTGGATCCTTGTATTATAAATGCTTAATCCAGGTTTCTGTTACTGGCTCCCAGAAATTTAAGTGAAGAATTCACTTTTCCATAGAACCAATGTAATAAATAGTAATAAGGCATAGTTGATGATCACATTAGTACTATAAGCACATTTTAGATTAAACATTATTATGAGCATTTGGCATTTGTAATTTTAAAAAATTTTCTAGGGTTCGGGGTGAAGCTCAGAAGTAAAGCACTTGGCTAGCATGTATGAAGGTCTGGGTTTGATTCCCAGCTCGTATTAAAAAAAAAAACAAAACACTAATGTAACTTATTGTTGGTTGAAAACTGCCTCGAGCCTATATTTAGTATATAATAAATTACTGAGATTTCTGAACTGTTAGACTCAAAATATCATGACATTGAAGTTAACATGGCTTTAATGCTGACCTAGGAATATATTTTTCTTAATTTTAGATCTTTTTTCTTTCACCATTCAACATATACCTTTACTAAAAATACTTGGGACTGGGGATATAGCTCAGTAGGTAGAGTACCTGCCTTGCATGCACAAGGCCCTGGGTTCAATCCCCAGCACCACAAAAAAAAAAAAAAAAAAAGAAAAAATACTTACCCAAATTAGTATTTCCAATACAATTAATCCTACTTCAGCATAGAGTTTAGGTTAAACAGTCATGACAATCTTCAGTTTTAAACACCAGTCAGTTGCCAATTGTTTTTAAACATTTCTCCTATACTGTATGCAGGGAAAAAAGTCTTCTGATTTGGAGCACAGAAATGGAAACCGCTTAACTCCTACAATTAATAAAAGTATTTTAAAAGTTGTATTTTCTAATTATGCTGTTTTTCTTGTATCAGAAAAGCATTTTTTTTTTTTTGGCAACAGGATAAAACCCTTTGAATACACAAATAACCTTAAATAAATACAAAACAGGGAAAGGTATATGGAAAAATATTTTATCCACTGGATAAAATCACAAGTGTTAAGCCAATTGAGATTTCCATGTTCCAGTATTTTTTACTCATTAAGCAATAAAGAAATATCACATTTCACTTTCAGTACACATTCAGAGATTTAGTGATGTGCTCAAAATAAAAATAACTCCAAAAGATTAAGGGCACAAAGATTTAGTTTTAAGGATGTAAATCTATTTGAAACCTATTTGTTAAAATTCCAAAAACAGTTATTAACTATTCCCCACAATCAGCATCTATGAGGTATGTCTGCAATGTTTCCAAAAGGTAATGACAGCCTATGTGCTTTTTATAACAATGAAAACTGGAAACTACACAGATATTCAAGAATTGGGGATTGATTAAATCAAGTATGTGTCTGATAGCAATCTAAAGGAATATTTATTCAACCAGTAAAAGCTATGATGTTCAGTTCACAAAATAGTGTTTACACTATAATTCCTTTTTGTTTTTTAAAAAAGAAATGTTCTTTTGCACAGCAGTAGGGTCTTGATGAGTAGTTCAACTGCAGTTTCTACCTTCCACATTAATCATGTAAAAAAAAAATTCCCCAGAATAACTTAAACTCTGTTTCAGATCATTGTGCAAATGGTATCTTCTTAAATTCACAACAAAAAAATAAGAGTGAGAGGCTAAGAACAACAAATAATTAACTCTAGATCAACTTGTTTGTGAAGATGTACAGGTTAGAGTTGCAACCTGGTGTTAATAATATCTGACCATATCAAACTGGCAAATTTCTAACATCAAATCTTATGAGATTCAATACTTTTTGTTAAAACTCTACAGAATTTTTGTTGGGACTCAATACCCCGTGATCTCTGATGATTTTGCACATCTTAAAAGCAATGCAGTCACAGTCCATTGCTCTGGACTACTGTCTAGAGGATGTTTGAACAGTTGCAGCCTTGAAAGACAAGTCTGCTGTCCATTAAAAAAAAAAAAAAAAAAAGATTTGAGTTCCCTCAACTCAGAGTTCCTGTCCTGTGATGCTCACTCCACATCCACATGACTCTGGCCTGCTTCACAACACTCTGTCTTGGGGGAACTGAGGAAAAATTGCTGATATTCTGGCTACTGCTGTAATTCATTCATCTCTGCCCTAGGATTCTTGGGTGTTGTACAAAACTGTGACAGGCTGTTTTTAGCCTGCAAACAGGGTCAAATCTCCCACACTTCCCAGTTCTTGATGAGTTTTAAGCTATGCTCTCCCCAAAACTATCAGTTTTGTATATGCACAACATTTTGTTAGCATTACAATTAATATAAATATTTTATTAATCTTTCCATACTTACCAGCATTATTACAGTGGAACATCTGATAGAAAACCTGAAGGAAAATAGCACAACTAAGTGTTAGAAATTTACTTATTAAAAATCTTAGGTGCTTTCATTTTGAGTGACTTCAGTTTGATGCCTAATGTATACGTGTCGCAGGCAACTAATTAGTAATGAAATCATCTGTACATCAAGGTGTTTGAGAAGGATCTTTTGAAACCAAGATCGCACACTCACTCTTCACCGATTTTTGTGTCGTTATAGAGATCTGACTGGTCTTCAAAATACATTCAATTTACTATCATTTAGTTACGAGGCGGTTCAAAATAGCTTAAAGGTCCAAACATGAATGTTTTGGGGAAAACATCCAGATTTTAATAGTCCTATAAAAAAAAAAAAACTTAGCCCCACCTAGCCCTGATCAATACCTCAGAAATCAAATCATTTAAATATAGCTTTTGTGTCAATTAATCCCTGGGTTTGAGAGTTAAGGGAGGGCTTTCCCTTCACATTCCACCCGCGAGGAGGTCTGTGGGCCACACACACCGAGCCCAGGCCTCGCACTCACACACCTGCTGGGTCCACCCCGAACGAAGGCGTCGGGACCTCTTCGGGGTCGACCCCCGAGAGGCGCGCACCAGGTGGGGATAGGAGCAGCAGGCGGGGCCGGGGCCCGGGGTCTCCTCACTGACCCACGCCGGGAGTCAGCAGCCAGCAGCCCTTCTGGCGTCCGCGCGGCTCCCGCGGGTCCGGTCCTCCGGCCTCGCCCCGGCGCCTGGCAGCTAGGGCCGCCCACTCACCCGCCCGACCTCCGCTTTCCGCGCAGGCGCAGCCTCAGATCCCCAGCCTCACCTCCTACTAGGGTGCGTTCCCGGTTCCTCGGCGACAGTGTGCGTCACTTCCGGTACCGTTGCTAAGCAACCAAGTGGTTAGGGAAACCCTCCGTAGGCAGGAGTCTACTCTGCGCTGGTCTCCTATCCGGGTTTGGGCGCGGGGTGTGCTACTAGTTAGAGATGCTAGTGCGGTTTGGGCGGCGCGCTGGACAGGCGAGGGAAAGCACAGGTGAGCTAACCTGGCCCTTTCCTGCTGAACTCCTGGGAGCTTAAGCTTCGGTATTCACTGAATGAATAGGAATATCTTTGGGAAATATCAATGACCTCCTTAGACTCTGCTACAAACCAGCTGAAAGGTCTTTACTACAGTCTCTTGAAGGAAACATCTCTATTACCTCCCTCCACTCTAAAATCTCTCCCTAAGTCAAATGATTTGATAAAGTGTAAAAAACAATAATTGTAATAATGCTACTTAAGATGTTGTAACTCAATTACCTGTTATAAAGTTTTGACTTTGTAATCGAAATAGAAAAGTGGGCTTCTAAATAAGTATTGATCAGTTTTAACTACAACGGTTTCTTAAATTTGTAAATCTCCAGCTGGGCGTGGTGGCACACACCTGTAATGCCAGCAGCTTGGGTGATTGAGGCAGGAGGATATCAAGTTTGAGGCCAGCCTCAGTAACTTAGCAAGCCCCTGTTTCCAAATAAGAAATATAAGGGGCTGGACATGTAACTCAGTGGTAAAGACTCCCTGGGTTCAGCCCTCAGTATTGGAAAAAAAAATCTGTAAATTCCTATATAATATTGTTGTCATGGTAACAACTAGAATCTTGAATATTTGAACTTTCTTCATGTCATTGACTGAGCTTCTGTAGCATTAGTCCCCCTGCACTTGATGCATTTGTTCTCTCACCAGTGGACATCTTATGAATTAGTAGCAGAGTTGTGCCATGTAAAAGGAGAGAGAGGCTACCATGTGGCAAGTATTGACAAGCACACTTACGCCCACATATTCACTTTCCTGTATGTGCTATATATGCAGTACTGCACTAAACAACTTAGTTTGCTTACTAAGTGTTAAATGTTTTATAACAAATGACCCAAAACTTTACATATGAGCCTCAGCTAAATTATCATCTCCATTTGGGAACGGTACAGTAGGATAGGAATTCACATATAATTTAAGTAAAACAAATAATTATATGAAAAATTAGTGGGGTGCATTAGCCAGAATGATGGAATAAAGATTCCTAAAAATTCTCCCTTCCAAAAAATCAACAAGAACTCTGAAAAAAATAGTCAATATCAACTTTTTAGAACTCTGGAAATTAACTAATAATAATCCCAGCAGTGTGTGTACAAGAAAAACTGCAGAATCTTGGTAACAACAGGGAAGTATTTGGGATAGTAATTTGCCTTAGGCCTATATTTTTCTCCCAATCCCATGGTATCTTAGAAAAACAGAACAATAACTGCTAATGGGTACAGTTTTTTTCTGGGATGATGAAAATGGTCTGGAACTATTTTGTGTTGATAGTTGCACAATCTTATGACTAGACAAAAATCCACTGAATGTTACATTCAACAATGGCAACAATAAATATAGATGTATATATATTTATCAATAAAATATTGATAATCTTTGGAAGATGCATCAATAATACCAGGCACATGAACTGATTTTAGATACCTTTAGGTCACTTGCCACTACTTTTGTCCCTCTTGAATGCTTGAGTGTTCCCTCTGTCCATCTGTCTCTGTCTCTCTTGTCCCATACTTCAACTGTGGCCTGCCTTGCCTACGTTAACCTTTCTAACAACCTCTTCTGAAACTGAATGAGAGCCACTGTGAGGTATGAATCTTGGAAATGAGATTGCCTTCAGAGAAGTAAACTTATATCCACTTTAATTCACTGATTAAAGTTGGTTTATTTTAAATCATCTGTAGCTCTGATATTAAACAGGGCTTTCCTGATCCTTAAAAATGTAGGAGAGGGCTAGGGATATAGCTCAGTAGTAGAACACTATTATGCATAAGGCCCTGGATTTGATCCTAGGAACACACACATACATATGCATACACACCCAGTTTCCATCCTCAGCACTGAAAAAAACTCTCTCTCTCTCTTCATCCATCCATATACATATGAATTAATGAACTTGACCTATCTTCAGTGGCCCAAGATAGAAAAAAGCTTTTCCAAGCCTTCTGCAGATTCTATTTCTTTATAGGTGACAGCCCTATTCTACTTTTGTGGTTATTCTCTCTGTTCTTTTCCTACATTAAAGTCCATGAAAATAGCTACCTGAATAAAACATGTGAATCCAATTATTTTACTGAAGAGATGTCAAAGAGCTGAGATCACATTGTGCGCTACACAGCTTTCTGACATTCTGCTTTCCTGCCACCACTGACAAAGTACACTTTACTTTGTAGGCAATAGCTTCTGCTAGTATGGGCTGTCTGCTATATCGAGCCTCTTTGTAATTTTGGTAAATTAAATTTTCTTCATTTTATTTCACATTTTAAAAGAATTAGATGACAACATGACACTGTGACCCATAAATATGTATATTTATTACATGTCAAGTAAAAACAACTAAACAGGGGCTGGGGTTATGGCTCAGTGGTAGAGCACTTGCCTAGTGTGTGTGAGGCACTGGGTTTGATTCTTTTTTTTTTGGAGTTTTTTTTAAAAATATTTATTTATTTATTTTTAGTTCTCGGCGGACACAACATCTTTGTTTGTATGTGGTGCTGAGGATCGAACCCCGGCCTCACGCATGCCAGGTGAGCGTGCTACCGCTTGGGCCACATCCCCAGCCCTGGGTTTGATTCTTAGCACAATGTTTAAAATAAAATAAATGTCCATTGACAACTAAAATATTAAAAAATAAAAACAAGTAAACAAAGAATTAGAATGATTCTTGGGTCAGAACCAGATGTTGACATGTCCTAACAAGATATTAATTAAGACAGTTGATTTAACTTGGAAATCATAGTTTGGTTAACCTCTGATTGCAAGTAGCATAAACCAAGTTGAGCCACTTTAGGCAAAACAAAAGAAATTTGTAGCTGGTCAAAGTGGTGCATGCCTATAATCCCAGTGGCTTGGGAGGCTGAGGCAGGAGAATTCAAAGCCAGCCTCAGCAATAGCAAGGCGCTAAGCAACTCAGTGAGACCCTGTCTCTAAATAAAATACAAAATAGGGCTGGGGATGTGGCTCAGTGATTGAGTGTCCCTGAGTTCACTCTTCAGTACCCTCCCCCACCAAAAAGAAATTTGTTATAAAGCTCTAAGAACACTTTGATCATAATTTTTTGGTTGAAAGTGAATAATTAGTTAAAACCAAAGAATATTTTGGTTCACATACCTGAAAATTCAGGTATAAATTTATCTAAAACACTGGGCCATTTCTTAGTTTAAATTGACTTTATTCTGCATGCAGAGGCTTGATCTGTAGCAGTCAAGATAGTACCCATCATTCTAAACTCACTTTACTTTAGCAGCCAATTTCCCACTCTCATAAGCTTTTTTTCAAACCCTGTGATGACTGATTCTGTCAGGATTTAAAAAAATTTTTTTTTTTTTAGTTGTAGAGAGACACAATACCTTTATTTTATTTATTTTCATTTGGTGCTGAGGATTGAACCCAGTGCCTCACATGTGCTAGGGAAACGCTCTACCACTGAGCTACAACCACAGCCCATGATTCTGGCAGTTTTTCTTTCAGAATTTGTTTCTCAGTCTGGCGAGAAAGATCACGTGATTTTCTTACTTCTGCTTTGAGATGTCCCTAAAAATTGTAAAAATGAAATAGCAAATATTTATTAAGAACACATTGTGTACCAAACACTATTCTAAATTCCAGATATAGGGCTGGGGATGTGGCTCAGGCGGTAGCCTGCTCGCCTGGCATGCGTGCGGCCCGGGTTCGATCCTCAGCACCACATACCAACAAAGATGTTGTGTCCGCCGAGAACTAAAAAATAAATATTTAAAAAATTCTCTCTCTCTCTTAAAAAAATAAATAAGTAAATTCCAGATATATATAATACACATGCCTAACTATTTAATCACCAAACCAACCTTACAAAGTAGGTACTGTTAATAATGCCATTTTGCAATTAAAGAAACAGATTCATAAGGGTGAAATAATCTTATCTAGAGTCATGTAATTATTATATGGTATGTTCAGAAAAAGTCCAGGTAGTCTGACTCTAGAGTCCACACTCTTTCCTACTATTACCTTCATTAGATCTGACCTACCCATTGTTATTCAAATGCCTTTTTCTGTTTTGGGTGAATTTCTTTCTTTATAAGCCCTACTGCCTTAAGATAGAAGGCAGAATTCAATTTTCAGACTCCCATGAAGCTAGGATTCAGGCATGAGGCTAATACTAAGTTTTGCATATGTCAGATTTGTATTATGAAAACAGCAGTATAAAGCAAACAAATAGCATGTTTAGTTTTCTGAAGAGAATGCCAGCAAAGTTTCAGAGGCAACAGTGGTAAAGGTTCAGGTATTTGATAATCAGTGGGAAAGTTGTAAATTGGGCAAGTCAAATTGTCTACCCAGTGCCAGTTACCATGAGCCTTCACCGGAGCCTCATTGATAAGGTTTTTGTGATATTTTGCATGTATTTCTTCCAAGAGTAATTCTGGCTCTCTAGAAGATTCAACAGGTTTCCTAATACCCCTTACTGAATCCCTATTTTGCTTTAACTCACTCTTGATTAAGTTTGGTTGTTAATAAAAAAGGGGAGGAGTATTTCTCTGAGGAGAGCTGTTAATATGCTCCACCATATCATTTAGGGTGTTTTTTTTAATTCCTATAATAGAAGAC